TTTTACGATAAAAACAGTTAAAACAAAATGAAACTAGAGACAATTGAATACAATTTATGTATCTACCTTTTTCTTCATAAAGTCAATAGTTTTGCCGTACGAGTGCCGCAAAGTGTACTCCAATTTTGGACTCCAAATGGGAACCCACTTAAATAAATATTTAAGTTCCCATACAACAGAACTTGTTTTTTGCCGTTTTTGCTTAATATTATACTATAATGTCTAATGTTGTATAGATAATTGTACGGAACCCCTCGTGCGCGAGTTCGAGACGCACATGGCCGGTTTTATATTAGATGCCATTTGCTTTGTTCCTTACAGTTCTTCCACATCACATTGAAAAGTTGATCGTGGTCCAAGTTGAACTTTGATTGGACGCTAACATCAAAGTGCGCTGTGGTTACTGTTTTATTATTTATTTATTTAATCAACTTCTTGTTAAAGCTTCTTTGTCAAAGTTGACTTTGAGCATGTCAACGCGGCTTTAGCCAAAGGATTTACTTATTAGTTTTTCATAATCGAAAGTCAAGATCTCGATAGAGTTACGACAACATTTACGATTTTAAAAGTGTTTTCGAAATCGAAACTACTATTCTTATTCTACCTGTATGATGGGTCTATTGCTTCTAAAACCAAACCTCAAATTTTAAAGATCTTGAGTCCATATTAATACAGTTACATGTTAGAAGAATGTCCTATTTAAGTGCAATTGTGCATTCTCTTTAAAGAAAACTTGTCTGTTTTGACATTTTTAAGAGAATTATCGGGAAAGTGGTTCTGGCTAGAATAAATTTTTTCGAAAGTATCATTTGGTAGATAGATATACACAGTTTCGCTATGCAACTCGCACCCAATGTACGAACAGTGGTAATCAAGATAGTTTTCGGTATGGGAACACAAATTGTGCAAGCTCTAAAGCTTAGCTTCTTCTTAATTGCTTAACTTTGACTGCCTCCCTTGGCTTCGTCGACTTTGTTAAACTTAACACATACTTCACATGACATGCTAAGTCTAATTTATTTAGATGTTTATCACAAACAGAAAGTTTTTTTTCCTAGTTTTTTTTTCTTTAGATGCTTTAAAAAATATTATAAAAAAGGTTTATTTATTTTTTCTGCATCCCACGGCAGTACTACAGAAACATAGTTTAATATTTTTATTATACATTTAACAAAAAAAAAACAGAAAAGAGAGCAAATTTTCAGTTTATTGTTTTTTTCAGTGATTGTTAGAGAACTGATATTAGGTCTTTAGGCAAATAGGAAGTGCTAGAATAACTTTATTTCGAAATTCCATTACTGTTCATCACAAATCTCAACAATATTTTAGACGACATTATTTACTAGTTAACTTTATACTCTCTAAAGTGGCGCGGTAATAAGAAGGCCTGTTACAGGTTGCGGACGCATATGATTTTTTTGACAGCAACAATCAAATAATGCCACTGAACTAATATATTTATTGATCTTTAGTAGCACTCTACCCTTTAATAACTTAATCCTATGCATGGTTTTATGGAAGATATCGCTTCCTGCGGCGGCCTTCATTGCCTATATATATTTCCGTGTTACTATACCTATTACATAATTTGTTTGTATGTGGCAACAAAGTATTCATTTGTATAACAAACTTGTTAGGTCTTGTTTACTGTCGTTGCTATTCAAATAAGTTATTATGAGATAAAATACTGACAATCGGATGGAGCTTATTATTTGTGTTTTCTTAAGTTTTGTTATTATAGTTTAGGTATGGAACCCCAATAAAGTATAATGACATGAGCACATTGCGTAAGTTATATTAAATCAAATTAAGGTTAACTCTCAAAATAAGTTTCGACTGCATAAAAACAGATATCTACTGTGGCTTGCACTTGAAACTAATTTTATCTCAACTGTTTCGGTAGAATTTACCGAAACAAGTTTACATAGATACAATCTTACCGAATATGTGGCTCTTAAACCGAATTAAATTATGCAGCAAGACTTTGGATGTTGTCCAGATAGTTTTTACTTTGAACCGACCTAAACCTCTTTTTATACACATACTTTGACATACTTTACGTAATAGGTAATAGAATTAAAATAACATTATCAGAGCATGACCAATAATATTTTTTTTTGCAAATAAAGTTTCTACTTATTCTTGCTTTCCGCATGACTTTTCTTATTTTCCCTACTTTATTAGACAACAGTAAATCCTTATCATTTTCTCTGGTGAATGAGAAGGAGACTGCTGTCATAAATTACGCAAAATTAAGCTGAGCAAATAAGAAAAGCCATAAACTTTTCAACGAGAAAGAAGCACAATTTTCTGATTATAGTATAAATTAATAGTTCAGCAAAACATTACACCACTTCTATACAAAATCCAAAAGTAACATAAAAATCTACTTACAACACTTACAACACAAATTTCCCACTGCTAATCAAGTTTTCGTGTCTGAACCGATAAAAGTATTTTGATGATTTTGGCGTTGGAATAAGGGAGACCTTAGAGAAGTACCTAGGCCAAGTTTTGGTAAGAAATTTAAGTCGACGAAGTAGCAGGCACCAATTAGTAAAGTATACTTATTACGTTTTATATTTTTTTAACTTCGTATATTTTTTAAACTTGCCCGTACCTGGCTACGCCCTTGTAAAAAGGATATCACAACTTTCTTTACAATATACACTTGTTTCTTAGGTTTTCACGCGCATCACTCAATAAATAAAACTAGTTTTAACGGGTCAATCCACGAACTTTATTTATTTATTGACGTTTCACAGCCTTTTCAGGCCTGCATCGTCAGAATAAAAAAGCTGCGAAACGTCAATAAATAAATAAAGTTCGTGCGTTAACCCGTTAAAACTAGTTCTATTTAATATACACTATCTCTATAAATAACCCAATTATTTGCATGACTTTTCTCTATGATTCTTTTTGCGTAGGTATTTATAAAATCTGTGAATTTTCTAATAAGTAATTTATAAAAATGCTTCCAAGTGATTAGTGCTTGGCGTGGCAGTTTGTAATAAAGGCCATACTTCATAGTTTTATTGTACAAACATGGTACTTTTAACATGTTTAAGTGTGTGTCTTGCCAACTGTCCTTAAATAAATAAATAACTTTTTAAACCAACAAATATTTCAGTAAACGAAATTCCAAACAACTCAAGCTATAAATCAATTTGATGCTGCTTTAAAAGATATTTTGTAGCCTTCAAATAAGTTTTGTTATATCAACAGAACTTGCAAGAATACTTCTCGATATAAGTTTATTGAAAATGGGGCGCGTTGGGCACTGCCGATTGAGAAATGTTGTGAACAACTTTCCTTTACAATACTTTTATCTGATTTGATAATTTAAAATTTCTGTCAGCTAAAGAGAAAATGAACGTTCAGAGTTATTTTAAATTAGTCTTCAGGAGAATAGAATAATCTCACCAAAATCATTTTCATGAATAAAATTGGCAAGACGAGACCGAATGACACAAACTGTTAAAAAGTTATCAGTACCCCTAGCACGAACCAATATCGAATTTGTATCGTTTGCGAGTCCGAAATATCATTGTCAAATGTTTACTGATTTTTAGTTTTCGTTACGTACTTTGTGGTTTGCAAACTATTCGAATGCGATAATGGTTCGTGTTAGGGGTACAGATCTCGTGTAGAGCTGATGAAGCTAAGCTTCTAAATCTAAACGCCCTTTTTTTAATTCGATGACGTTGAGAAAGAATGCATTATATCCACGACAATGACCAACTCCGCGTTGGCTTGCTATGAACAAACCCCTGCGACGCAGGTAATATCGTGGTGCATTCGGCCAGCGGCGAGCAGCTCGAGGGCTACTAGTCGGTGCACAGAGATGTGAGTCACATCTCTGTGCACCTATCTAAGATAAAAGTATCTAAGATACAGATACAAGATACAAAATACATTTTTTGTATCTTCGAGTTGAGGAATTTGATGATTGAAAGAACAGCAGCCACGTTTTTAGGGGCGTGGTCTAACAGTTTTGTTATAAAAAATACAGGCACAACGGACTGTCTTCATTGCTAACATGTTTGGTTTCAAAAAGTATCTTTATCTTAAAAAGTATTTTGAAAATACGTATCTTGTATCTGGTATTTCAAATACTTATTCCGAAAGTATCTTGTATCTGTTATCTAAATACTTGACTACCTGGTATCTTGTATTTTGTATTTTAAATACGTTTTTTAATGTATCTTTTACATCTCTGTCGGTGCAGATATACATCAAAGTGCGTTCACGCAAGCGTGGCAGACGTCAAACCACCCCGCCTCCGACCAGCAACCCGGCCCGCACCAAGCTTCCAATTTTTTTCCAATTCCAATTCAGAATCCAATTACAACTCTCAAATTTTAATTTCTTCACACTTTGTATAAGACTGGAAAACTTGATTTAATACTATTTAGAGCGACATGTTTTCGTTTCTACAATATTGAAAATTAACGTGATTTTTCGCAAAGAGGATTTATAAAGGCAAAAATATTTCTAAACAAAGGATTTCGGCGTTATTACTTGGTTGGTTCCGAGGCGAGGCGCATAGCCCCCGTCCACGGGAATTCGATATTGCCTCAAGTGAAGCGTTCTGGCTGCATTGTGCACTTTTATTCGCCATTGTAAGTCTGAGAGATGCCACTCCGCTCTGCTCCGATGATTGCGGTATCGTATTCTTTAAGAAAACACTCAAGGCGAGATGAGATTGAGTGCTCATTTCGAGTGGTATTAAAATGAATGCGCCTGATTTGGTAGTCACGTTTTTTTATTAGGTCAACTTTAAAAGGGTACGAAAAAAAAAACGTTTTTAAAGAAAAATATCATAAACTTCGCCCCGTGTATACATGTGGGGAGAGGTTTTTGAATTTATATTTATGACTAAAGTTACAAATTCAAAAAGATTTTTTCTTTCACTTTTTGTTCCATGAAATACCCAATTATTTATTTCTCATTACTATGCTATTATTCTTTAATATTCAACATAGTAAGAGTATATCAACGCCGATTAAAAAAAATACTGTCAATAACAAGAATATGTCAAAGACCATGTAAAAGCTCGAAGAGCAATACAAAATTTACCAGTAAAATAAGCCTATTAAAATGAATCGAATGGAAGAAACTGTACAATCCAAATCGTATTTTTGGGATTGTCTCACCTGGAGCAAGGATTGTCCTTTTCTATCCAGTATTGACCCAAAGTTATATTATTTCGGCGTCGGATTACTTGTACTGTATGGTTCTTTTGTGCTCATGATATTAGCTGATTTTAGATTCTTCTGCTCTCTAGACGGTCTACAGAAGCAAATCGACTACTATATAAATTTGGTAAGGAAGAAGATACGTCATGTGCAGACGGATCAGCGGAGATTAGTAAGCACGCAGGAAAGATCCGAGAAGCTTTTGAAGAAAACTGAAGAGTGTAAACGTATGGTGACAGCTTTAAGAGGAGCTATAAGCGAAGAAGATCCTAGTCGTTTATCTATGCTGACTAATAATGCCGATGGAACCTTATGCCCTAGTATAGACGGAGAGATGTGGAACGATGCCGGCAGTGTTATTGATTACTAAAAAAAAAACCGTGTGTTCGAATCATTGGCTCCTTGATCTATAAATATCGTAATGATATACAATGTATGTATGTATAAAGTGTATTTATTCATTTTTGTTTTCCTTTCATATTTTGTATTTATACTTGAGCAGATATTGGGAGCGTGAATAGGTACTGTTTCCTAAAAGCGAGGTCTACCTTGTATCCCAGAACTTTTATTGTCATAATATTATTATGCATAACAGCGGATGGCATCAACTACATTTCGCAGAAAATCATTTGAAATTCACTCATATAAAAGACATTCAAACGTAAATTTTTGTAAGCCAGAATCATCTTTAGGCTTATAATTAATATCCACAATAATCATATCGCAGAATTGGCGTACAAATATTTAAGTTTTTCTTGTTTTATTTATATAATATATTAGTGGCCCGCCCTCGCTTCGCTTCGGTGTAAAGCTGTAGTGTAGACTATAGTTTTTCTTCTTTTGACTTTCACTATATAATATCGCGCTACGATCAGTACGTATGTTGCAAAAATGGGAAAAAATATTCCATTTGTGAGCTTCCGTTGCGTGCGCTGGATAAGCGGTTAATGTTATACAAAAATAATGTGTAACAGAATTCTTTCTTTTAAAGTTCTAAAAAAAAGTCCACGGCAGCATATGTCCATCTTGTAAGTATGTCACACTTTATCCTTTTTCCTCAAATTAACGCGGGTGAAATCGCGCAGGGGACAGTCCTCTAGTTGTGACAAAGCTGTTATAGTTACACATATAGTATCGCGTGCATTTTTAAGGATATTGATGTCCTCTATGAAACTTTAGTACATCACTTTGCTCTATTGTCAATGACTTCCGCAGCGTACGCGATGTAAGGTATTTTTTTGTTATTTTTGTCACACGTTGGGTTACTATATCGACGTTTTCCTAATCGGTCCAGTAGTTTCGGAGCCTATTCAATACAAACATACAAACCAAAGAAACAATCAAATCGTTCCTCTTTAAAATATTAGTATAGCTAAGGTGGCTAGCGCTTGGCACGCCTGCTTCGCACGTGTTTCGTCACCACACTAATTTAACCTGACTATGAACATCGATTATGCAACACAAAATTATCCCTAATAATATACTGCCATCTTAAAAGCATGCAATTTTTAATTCGGACCTATAAACATTCGGCAAAAAAAAAATTATAAAATATGCCTTTTTCAGCGTCAGCGTGTACTTTGTATCTAGAACACGCTAAGCTCACACCTTAACAATGATATTTTAAATAGGATTCAGCGAAGTGTGTTATGCCAAATTAATTTTGGAGCAATAAGATTCTGCCAGATAGAGGGAACTCGCTAAAGCGACGTGAATACCTTTCTTTATATTTTATCCTTAACACTTGGCTGAACATAAAATATAGTTCAGCCGAGAAATATTATAAGCCTCGTGTAGCTCTTATGTTTGTCATAGTTTTTTGAATAATTTCAATGAGTATGTACGTACATACTTACATAGATATTGAGCATAGAAACCTTTATGAAATGTTAGAAAATAATCTTATTAGTGTAATGCTGCGTATTTAATTGAATATTTAATGATCTCGATATTTAATTGAATATTTCTCTCAAAATATCTCGATCGTCGTAGGTAGGTGGAAGTTAAGTAACTTTCGTAATGGTTGGTCAATGGATGGGTGACCATAAGCTTATTATCTCGAGCTCCTATGTGCTTTGGAAGGCACGTTAAGCAGTTGGTCCCAGCTGCATCTGCAGGCGTTAGCATCCACCAATTAGCACTCGGCCCGCGTGATGGGTTACAGCCTAAACTCCCTTCCTTTTCCATCTATAAGAAAGGCCTGTCCCAGCAGTAGGGACATTAATAAGCTGATAATGATGACGTTTATTTTGGTTTCTTGTTATAAGAGCTAAAGTTGGGTCATGGTTATTTGAGTCACCATTATTTTTCCCTGTAATCTTTAATATGTAGAACTAAGTGCATAACATAATAAAGAAACAATAGGGTGGAAAGACTGCATTGGTTCTTCATGGGTTTATTGCAGTATCTTGAACTAGTGAACCGAATAATCTCGCATAAGGTCAAAATTGTCACGTGAGCCTGCTGCCTGAAGGAGAATTAGAACTTATTTTCGTACTTATGTAAATAATTTAAGGCCTCTATTGTACATTAGACGACAAAAATATTTTACTGAATTGTCTACTCATTTATCTACTACTATCTTTTATCGCACTTTGATTTAGATAACATATCACTATCGATAGGTCTTAAAATTAAACTAAGTTTAACAGTAAATTATAATTGATTATTTTTTCTAACAAACAATATACGGTTCTTAACACATTTACACAAAATACAATAGTAATTATTTTACTTTAGTTTTGTGATCTTTTCAGAGACATGCCATAGTCCTTCCGCTAGTTTCTCGTCTCTGCCTAGAAGCGAGGCTGTCTTCTCCCGGCAATCTGCGAAGTATTTGCCACTGAGACTGTCGACCTCAGGTGACACAGCCAAGTAGTTAGTTGTTTGAGCACCTGCCCACGGCGACTTGAACATTGGCGCAACCACAACTTTAAACAAAGGAGCCCACCAGTGATCTCTCAAAATATCCGTCAACACCCCTCCCGGGTGAACACTGTAAGTGGTGACTCCTGTTCCCGCCAATCTCTTCGCTAGTTCTGATGTCATCAGCACATTGCACAGCTTAGTGTTACAATATGACTGTAGTGAGCTGTATTTCTCTTTCTCCATATTCAGATCGTCCAGGTTTACTTTGCCTCTTGTGTGAGCATCCGATGATAGATTGATGATGCGGCTGGGTGCACTCGATTTCAGTAGAGGTAGCAATAGTGACGTTAGCAAGAAGGGTCCAAAATGGTTCGCCTGCATATCAAGAAGTAACCCATCTTCAGTTTTCATGTAACTCGTACCAACCATACCGGCGTTATTGATCAGTATGTGTAACTGTTTTTCATTCTTTATTATGTCATCAGCACACGCACGGATTGACTTAAAGGAGGCCAAGTCTAATTGTTTAACGTGAACATTGCTGTTTCCTGTTTCAGCGATTATTTTGTCTCTGGCTGCAGTGCCTCGCACAACACTTCTACATCCTAATATGATTTTGGCTCCTCTATCTGCTAAATCTTTTGCTGTTTCGTAACCGATGCCGGCATTTCCACCTGTCACTAACACAATCTTTCCCACTAAATGTTTACTGCACTTATTTATACCACACGTGAGCTTACTATAAATTACAAGTAATGCATAAATAGCAACATTAATAAATATGATTGTAAATAATACCATTTTTGTTACAACAAAATACACGACAATCACACTATGTAGATAGCGGTATTTTGTAAGGCAACAAACATTAGCGTGCCTCGTCGCAATTTGTTCTCATACGTTACAATGCGAGCGATGACATCATCGTATCTACTAAAATTGGGCTTAGGAAGGTTGATAAAGGTTTTAATCTACTAAGTACTATTTGTTAACAAATTTATTTATTTTTAATCAACGAATTCAGTAAGTATTAAATTACCCATTTGACAAGTAAAAATAAAACCGGGCACTACCGATTTGAACTTGAAATTTATTAATTCATGCTCAACAACTAGTTTTTTGTGTTGTCATATCCATACTATAACCTTGACGGTTTTCTTTGGGTTATCATTGACAGAATGACCGAGTATATTTTCTCATAGATTCGTATGGACATGAAATGTTTATAAAATGTACTTTGCTGTATAAATTAGTCAAGTAATGAAAATGTACTACGTAATTGGGTCATTTTGGTTACGTTACAAGATCAACAAGATGTATTCGCACTTACTCGTTCGACACTTACTCTTGATTTCAGGTCATCATCATCATCATCAACCCATGCTCGTACACTGCTGGACATAGGTCTTCCCTAATGCACGCCACTGCTCCCGATTTTCTGCCATTTTCAATTTCAGGTCATTAAGATTTATCTGATCCTCTGCCAATTTTAAGGGCAGACAGACGGACACCACGAGTAATTTTGTTTTTCATCAAATATAGTGATTAAGTCTAATAAACTGTTCTTATAGGTACCTAAATTATGAAAATAGGTACCAATTGCGATTACAAAATATTGTAATAATGGAAGAATGGATTAAAAAAAACTCAACAATCTTTTCCTCAGCTTATTTTCATAAAGGCTTGTCAATATGCCGTTAATCTTAGACATTTCTTCGAAAAAAATCAAACCAACGAAAATGCTATAATAAGTAATTTACGAATGTGGCGAATCTCCTTTGAGCTTGAAACTGTATTAACCCGCTTCCCTTTGTATGTGTCGTAGTCTTGGCCCGCTTTGTATTGCCAAGCAATTTGTCGCGTCAGATCACATCAAACGATCTCATTACTGGAGGGCACAGATGGTACTATTAAAAACCACATAATATACAAACAGAGTTGCCATTTATTATTAACCCGAGTCCGTACATAGCCGAATAAGTAGATGCAGGCGGGTGTACTACCTAGGTTTTGTATGAGTGTGAGAGCATAGCATACATAGGTTAATACTGTGTACAAATTTGCATCCCTGGCAAGCAAAGTCTTCCCGTCTACATTCTTTGCAGGCGCACCCGGCTTGAATATTTTACCTCTGTGTTTGTAGAGTTGCTACGAGTTTTGTGTATGAGAAAATCTTACGAATAAATCTTGTCGATCACGGCAGCTCAGCCACACAGCGATCTTAATATTATAAATTGTGAAGTTTTTGCAAAATGTAATGTGATTGTTTCTCGATTAAGTGTTATGATAAGTCATCGACATACGAATTTCAACAAACGTTCTTTAAGACACATCGTTTACCTGTCAATATTTAAGATGATATAGTTTCCTATAGAATTGATATTAAAACATGAAATAAATACATATAAAATTGTAAATAACTAACCCTAATGAGGCATAAAAGTATTACAACTTTAAATAGACAGAAAAAAGAAAATAAAGGCGTCCTCGGGGGTACATACCCATAGCAGTGGGAGTATTATCTGTCAGGTAAAAATTTACAGACAGACTTCCGTCTAATAATGTTATCACCTATTTACAATATTCTGCGATCTTGAAGCAATTAACGAAGTCATTTTAGAACAACTAATAATCTAGTTGCTACTGAGGCAATGATGTTGCGTATTTTTCTGCGCAAATGTAAACAGTAATTAAGCTTATAATTGACTGTGATTTCTGATACAAGTCGTTATTTCAAGCGTTCGTGAATGATTTCCCTTGTGGGTTTTGTCATGTTAATGATAAAGTTATGAGATGTAATGAAAGATAATTAATCTCGTTTAAAATTTCCTACCTACTCGATAAAATTTTAAAAGTGATTCCTAGATAACTTGTTAAATCACTTGAAAAAATGAAGGCGTATTTTTGAATGATCAAACGAACTTACGTAAGTGAAGTTCGATCTGAATTGTCCTCTAATCGCGCCGATGAGGTTTATTTTTTCTCTACTATGTAATACCCTCAGTTTGACCAGCTAGTGCGTACACAGTTTAGAGCGTAGTTAAAAAAAGTGGGAGGTAACAATTGTCTGTACCACGACGCTGCTCGTCGGTTTAATGCGCATATATTTTAGAGAAAAAGACACAACATTGACGATGTTATCCTAGATAACTAGGGGGTAAAAAATATTAGGATGGGATCCTAGGGACACCATAGGTGTCGATTCTGGCATGATTCGCTAAACCTAAATTTAAATTTGACAACAGTGCATCTTTGTCATTCTCATTACAGAATGAAAAGGAGAGACTGTTGTTAAAGGAGATTGCTCAAATTGGCCCAAATGTACAAAAAATATTGATATATACTTTAAAAAAACTAATAAACTATAGGTAATTCTTGGCGTAATTTATACTTTATTTTGCAGTCATTAGATTTTAACGGACACCTTCGTGTAATATACTCATTTTAAAAAGGACTTTTAATTTTACCGGTTTGGAAAACAAACGAATCATTTTTAATGGCTATGGGTGTAGTAACATTCAGCCAAAGACTGTTCGAAGTTTTATAAATAACATCAAAACAAATCTATTTTGTAAAGATCGATAATTTTTTTTTATTACACTGGTATTAATATCCACTACTATATTATCATTTTCACTACATGCAAATGTGCTAAGACAATTATTATAGATGATAGGCGACATCATAAAAGTCTATTGCCATACATTTTTCGCCAAACGCCTCCATAAACACATTATAAGGTGTGATACACTAAAAATCTAAAATATGGTTGTAATATTAAAAACATATCAAAAATAATGAAGCTACTCAAGATATGGCTGTATAACCTAAATATCTTAACTTTCTTTGGGTAACTAGAGTTTAAAAATTCTCTATAATCTGTGGCTCATTCACAATCATCACACAGTTTCTGTCACAGAGTACCTTATTATAACCGGAAATACATAGATGATACCTGATTTTAAAAGTTACTTTTGTGTATTAACTTTAAAAGCAGGCAACTATCTGTTAATCTACATGCTTTATATACCTGAATCTAATACATAATTTCGGTACTTGGCTTAATTTTCCTAGTTTACTATATAACTTATTTGTTTTTCATTATTTTAATACCTATAGATGTACCTATTTACAAACATAACCTCAAAATCATTCAGTGTATATGGTTTATAGAAGTTCTCAGGGTTGTCCGTCAATAATATTCGTTTCTACAGTAATTTATATATAATTTCGAATCTAGGAAACAATTTTTCATGATTATTGGTTTTTAGGTCAAACGTGTATGGAAGCTGAGCAATCTCCTTTAGTTTTAAGTTTAGAGAATCTTGTCAGAATCGACACTAATGTTGTTAATTTTTACGACATATTTCAATTACTTTCTTAATTGATCTTCATTTTACCAAAATAAAGTTCAAGTAATAAATAATAAAGTCACTTTCCACGTATTTGGCTACGTTTAGACATTACTCTTAAAAAAACACTGATCTCAATCACTTGAAGAATTGATTTTTATCAGACTGCGAGCGGTTGTGGCGCGCGCGCATAGAGGAATGAGCATTGAACCGACGAGCAGCGGCGGCGGGCGGCGCGTGGTGAAGAGAGATGTTACCTCTCACTTTTTACTATGCTTTAAGTCTAAACTATGTGCGGACTGGCTGGTCGTACTGAGGCTACTACATAGTAAAGAAAAATAAATCTTGGAGACGATAACAGGACAAATAATAACATTGTCATTTAAAGTCTCCGGCATTTGATAAGATAAGGTGTCTCTGTGTTTCTCTTAAATAATTTGATTTCTATACCTGGTTCAAGTGAATAGTGCACATAGAAATAGCGTGTGGTTGCCAAGAGCAAGTTCAGTGCTTGCAAATAGCCTCAAACAGCAACAATTTAACACCTGACACTCGTATTTCGACACTTTATCATATTGGGTAAGATTTTTTCACTTGCCGTTTATTTTAAATATGAGAAATACTAAGAAGCAACAATATAAACAAAGAATATGATTTGTTAAATGCAAAAACATAACCTAGCGCATCGATCAGCTGATTGGACATTGCTTTCCGGAGAATTGTCATTGTCACTGTCATACTAGCAGTGCAGCCAACTTCAAATAAATATTTAATTTTTGCTGAAGGTGAAGAATCCCTGGTTCATACAGCCTTGTCTCTAATAATTAATTCCATAGACTAGTTGGAAATTTTGGCACGCACTAGAAATTGATAACGAGTATCGAAACCAACCATTACGATAATGACTACTTGTTCGGGGTGTAATCACAAAGTAGATGAAGATGGCCACTCGATGAGATGTTCATGGTGTGGTAATTTTTATGACCTTTTATGTGCTGGATTGACTGTGGAAAAATATGTTGCTCTTACGCATGAAGTTAAACAGGGATGGAAATGTGTTGCCTGTAGGAGTAGAATCCCTAAGATTGGTGATTTGAGTACCCCTGTCCGCCTTTTCATGAGTACTACCAATGACAGCGACGTAATTGCTGATGCCGCTGATAATACTATATCCGAATGTGAGTTTGAGAATGTCACTATGCGTCGTGGGCAAAATGTTATTAAAACATGCAATTGCTTATGTGGAGACCTCAGCTCGCTCAGGCAAGTTATTCGAGAGGAGCTGCAAGCTATAATGAAGGACCCTATATCAATGATCTCATTGCTTTGCAATTTGTACCAGGAGCAGAGTAAGGCTGTGAAAAATTCTGTAGGCCTTCAGTCATCTGCACCTGAAAAAGCTGATGAGGGTGAGGCGATGGCTACTGTGCGGGAGTCTATTGATAATCCTGGCTCACACACACCAACGATAGTAACCAGGCCACCTGCAACTGGCAAAAAGGGCTTGAATATTTCACATAAAAGACGAAGTGAGCCAGCGCCAGAGAATCATGAGCCAGGTTTATGTTCGAGTGGTTCACGTTTGGGGGATTCTGCTGCCACGCAAAACAAAATCACGGCGACTCCCGCATCTGATAAAGATTTAAAACGGACAGAAAGTGAAGGATGGACCGAGGTAAGACGCAAGCGAGTAAGGACGCACTTGTCCGGTGTGCTACGTGGCACTGCAACGCCTGGAGATACCACATTGCGCGCGGCTGAACGAAAGAAATTTCTCCACCTCTATTACGTTCAAGAAGGAACTACGGTTGAACAGGTCCACGCTCATCTCACTTCTCTGTGCGGAGAAAATAACTGCTCGGTGGAGGCTTTGAAGGCGCGTGGTAACTACGCTTCTTTTAAATTAGGAATACCAACCAAGATGGTGGAGCAAGTAATATCTTCTGACAGTTGGCCTACGGATATCTGTATCAAACCGTGGCGACAGAACTTTCGTGGCAAGCAAGACCTGCGACAGGAGCAAAAGACGACCTAAACAGGTGCAATTTTACTATCAGAATGTAAGAGGTCTGCGTTCTTAAACTACAGTATTTTATAAAAATGTAACTGCTTGTAATTTTGATGTTGTTGCTTTGACCGAGACCTTTTTGACAAGTTCAGTACGTGACGGCGAACTCTTCCCCAAGGGCTACGTGGTTGTACGGAAGGACCGAGCTGGTGAAGCAGGGTGGTGGGGGGGGGGAGTTCTGCTGGCAGTACGGGATTCTTATTCGACTAAAGTTGTTACTAACATTGATGGCCTTACACCTGACATGGAATTAATTTGTATAATCCTAAAGTGGAAAAATGTAAAATTGCTATGTTGTGTTGTCTATTTACCCCCTAGTTATAAAGACGACCAGTATTTAAATGTTTTGACATGTTTAGAAAATGTTATCTGTTCATATCCTAATTTAAATATTGTAATTATAGGTGATTTTAATTTAAATTCATGTAGTAATAATGTTAAAAGTCAATTTGAGAACTTTTGTGCATTTTGCCATCTGGATGAAAATAACCATATTATAGTGAATAGCCGGGGTAGTATGTTGGATCTCGTGTTGAGTGATCTTGTGCCTGGTCGGGTGGCAGTTTCTGTAAACACTGACCCCTTGGTGCCGTTAGACGAATATCATCCTGCTCTCGATATTACAATAGCATTAGAGAGCGGTACGGTACCACCAGCGCAAAACAAGCGTACTTCTTCTATGCGAAGAAGCCTTCGTCCAGAATGGAACTGGCGTAGAGCTAACTTTGGGGCGTTGTATTCTGCTCTGGACGCAATAGATTGGTCAGACGTGTTGGGAAATGAAGATGTTGGTTCTAGCGTGCAAGTATTTTACCAGACTCTGTACGACTGTATAAATTTATATGTTCCCCCTAAAAGGGATTCATCCTATAACAATAGGTATAATTATCCCAAGTGGTTTACCAGCGAGATAATTAATAACTTAAAGCAGAAATATATACATTTAAAGAGGTATAAACAAGACCATAAAGAATTTAATTTTGAATTATTTAAATATTATAGATGGCACACAAAAAACTGATTGACATAGAACATCAGCTTTATATACAAAATATCGAAAAAAATATCATTGACGAACCTGTAAAATTCTGGGAATACATTAAAGATAAGAGGATGGACAGGCGATATGTAGATTCTTATTTATATAACGATGAGGCAGTAACAGGTCACGAGGCTGCGGAGGCTTTTGCACAATATTTCGGTTCTGTGTTCTTGGACGAGGTGCCCCGCTTGAATCCCGCTAAAGCTGCTGAGGAGAGTTATACAATTAAGGATGCTAGGCTCATTTAAGTGTCAACAATAACTGAAGTTGATCTCAAAGCAGCTATTAGGCGTCTTAAGGCTCGATCATCTAGTGGACCTGATGGCATTCCGATTTTTTTGGTCAAGGATTGCATATCCGCTCTTAAGGCTCCGCTTTTGCATCTGTTCAACTTGTCATTGGTTCAGGCCAGGTACCCGGATTGCTGGAAGCCTTCTCGCGTAACACCTATTGCGAAGGGAGACCCTGGGCCCGATGTTACCACATATAGGCCGATTGCTGTGCTGTCTGTTTTTGCAAAATTATTTGAAATGATCCTTAATGGATGCATTAGCCAACAGATAGGTAGCCGGTTGCATGATAGTCAGCACGGATTTCGCAAGGCGCGCTCGACTACAACGAATCTGATGACTTTGGTGGACTATGTTTCTACAGAAATGGACTCCAGTAGACAAGTGGATGCAGCCTACTTTGATTTCAAGAAAGCCTTTGACCTCGTTGATAACGACATCTTGCTACGAAAGTTATCAGGGATCGGTTTTGCGCCTCGACTTTTGCAGTTCTTCGCAAACTACCTCAGCGACCGATGTCAATTTGTACGATTGAATGGACATGAGTCTGAGGTTTACTTCACCCGTTCTGGTGTAAGCTAGGGGAGCACGTTAGGTCCAACTCTGTTTCTCGCCATGGTGAATGATCTGCCGGATACTGTTAACTTTGCTGAGTGTCTATTATTCGCTGACGACCTCAAACTCTATCTGGGTATAGGTGATAGATCAGATATAGATGCTTTGCAGAGTGACATTGATGCCGTGGCCGCATGGAGCGAAAGTAATCGTCTGTCTTTCAATCCTGCAAAATGTAAAACCATTACATTCTCACGAAAGCGTAATATGTTACATTCTGACTATAAATTATTTGACACACTTGGAACGAATCGACGAAATAAAGGATCTAGGAATTACTTTAGATAAAAAAATGGACTTCCACAAGCATGTGGCAAACATTTGTAAATCGGCGAGCCGACTCTTAGGGTTTATTCTGAGGACAGGTTCAGATTTTAGCAATTTTGCTGTGGCCAGAGCACTATATAACGCGTATGTGCGAAGTAAACTCGAATACGGGGCGGTTCTATGGGACCCACACGAGAAAAAATATAGCCTTATGGTGGAGAAGTTGCAGAGGAAGTTCGCTCGGTGGTTATTTAAAAAGTGCAATGGGTATTATCCGTATCTTTATCCCTCATCGTTCGTGGACGGTATGGTAGGGCTGAATACACTCGCTCATAGGAGAAAAGTCATTCTCGTCATCCACTACCTCTCTGTGCTCTACGGGAAAGTGGATGCCCTTGGCGTGCTGGAGCGGGTGTGTTTGTTGGTGCCCTCGCGCGTCCCACACGACGTCGGCGGGCTGGTGGTGCCGCGCCGGCGCCCGCGCCTTATACACCGGCCAGTCACGCGCACCGTACACGCCGCGCACGCACCCACTACGCGCGCGATCGGACTCATCGGGGACATGCTCGCTCAATGTAACAATATCGACTTATTCGCTGATGGTTTGGCAAATCTAGTGGCGGCTGCACTTGAGTTTCTTGAGAAAATAGCTTATTGATTATTTCTAAATTTGACAATTCATTTATTTATAACTAAAATGATATGACATTATTTATTAAATTAGTATATTTGACATTATCTGTTGAAATTAGATATGACATTATTAATTGTTATATTGATTTGACATTTTTAACTAATTTATTATAAATTTAATTAACTTTTACAATGGGTGATTTGACTTTGTTTCTATTAAGTACTATTTGACATTGATATTTGACATTACCTAACTATTTAACTATTTGGCATTACTGTTTTTTTTTAGTTGTTATAATTATTATTATTTGATTATCTCTTTTTCTTAATTTTATTGAATTTAATGAATACCTTCCATGATTGTTAATATTTTGTAAGTATGACTTGCCGGCGTGTTGGATTATTCTGTAAGCCTGCATATTTAAATTGAATAAATAAATAAATAAAGGATCATTTAAATCCACCTACCTATTTTCTAAATTACTTCCTGGATAAATAGATGCTGGTTAAATAGCATATTTAATCTATATATTTAAAAATGTTATGTTGGTTTGTGTCGCTTCAAAAACTCAAAAAGTTCTGAGTTCATATTTTAACATGATATAAAATCCGCATCGAGGATTGTTTTTATCTATTTTTTGCATCAGTCACATATCTGCGACCGCGAGAAAACAGTTTTTTTAACGATCAGCTGTGTACCAGTGACCGCGCCATCTGCCAGAAGCAAGGAAAACACTCGCTGACAACCGCAATAGTAATGACGCAGTCACATGAGATACAATTTTGTTCCCAATTACATTGATTATTTACAAAAAAAAATGTTATTGCAAAATTAAACTTATGTGAAATGTATTCTTTGTTTTGTTTCTCATTTCTCAACCATTCAATTACAATGTGCCACTGCGAAGCGTGGCAGGGTACAGCTAGTCTATAATATAAAAATGAATCGCTGAATGTGATGCTAAGCGCAAATCTCGAGAACAGCTGAACCGATTTCGATAATTCTTTTTTTAGAATATTCCTTGAGTTATATTGTTCTTACGCAGAGAAAAATTAAAAAAAATGCCTGAAAAAGTCCAAAAGCAGCAATTTTCTATACTCCCATACAAACGATTCGTAATAATACTTAAAAGTCAATT